AAGAATCCTAAAGACAACACAATCCAGATTCTCTGTGTAATATTCATCTTCACATGGCTTATTTTTTATATTAATTTTACTGTCTCCTTAAAGACTTTATTTTTTAAAACTATGTATTTGTTTCTATAACTGTATATATCACCTTTTTTGTCTCTTTCAAGCCTACGTATATTTTACACACATTGTAAACTATTACATCTGAATCTGTCTTATTGTGAATCTATTGCTTTAAACTGCAGCAGCTTAATGTGCCACTTGCAGAGGCCTCATTCCCGCCATACTGCAGGTCGAGCACCCACACCAGCAACCCACCAGTAGCTCAAACCTGCAGCTGCCGCTCATTTGAGAGAGACAATTAGGAACTGTTTTTAGCTCCGTTTTAGAATCTTTTTTCTCAGTTTGTAGGTGGAAACTCTTGCCACCACGTTGGACGCCATTTGTAGGTAGTGTTTTCCTGCCTGGCCCACAGTCAGGACAAATCTCTCTCACCTGCCAGTCCCACAGCAGCTCAGACCCAACCAAGTAAACACAGAGACTTATATTGGTTACAAACTGTATGGCCGTGGCAGGCTTCTTGCTAACTGTTCTTACAGCTTAAATTAATCCATTTCTATAAATCTATACCTTGCCACATGGCTCGTGGCTTACCGGCATCTTCACATGCTGTTTGTCATCGTGGCGGCTGGCAGTGTCTCTCTGACTCAGCCTTCCACTTCCCAGCTTTATTCTCCTCCTTGTCCCACCTACACTTCCTGCCTAGGCAATGGCCAATCAGTGTTTTATTTATTGACTAATCAGCAACACATTTGCCATACAGAACATCCCACAGCACTTCTATCATCTATGTGATCTTGAATATTATTTAAATATTTCAGTGTTTCAGTTTTTTTTTTTGTCTGTAGCAATGAGGACAATGATACTTGGTCACATGATACTTGGTGGGGTTAGTTAATGACTATATACAAAGTGTTATCGTGTCTGGTATGGAGAAAATTCAGTTGTACTTATTAGGCTCCAATGCCTGTTCTTAAGCTCTTTGACTTCTTGTTTTATTAGAAATATAGACAGAGTAAGAAGCATAGAATTTGAATGGAGAGTACTCCAAAACTATTTCTTGTTGTATGAAGAGACAAGTTAATTAGCTTCCAGGTACTTCACTGTTCATATCTTTAAAACTGGTATGTCTCACACAACTATTAAGATGGCATCCTACCTTTTACTCACATTACCCATATGCAACTTTACCACCCGCCTCTACTTTATCCCTAGGACTTGCATGTGTAACCCATGGTCCTCCTGGCCTAGCCTCTGCAGTGTAGGGATTGCATGCCATTGACATACCTGCTTTACCTGCAGAGTGTTACCTTTACCTGACTAGGCCACTTCAGCCTTTGCTTTATCAGACACAAATCCCTCTGTTCCTGTGAGAACTCCATTTAGTCACTAAATACTCCTTGTACATACTACGCAATTTGGTTCTCATGACAGCTGTATAAGGCGCTGGGCTCTATCTACATTTATATCTTAGAGTTACAGAAAGCAAGAGCCAAAGAAACAGTTCCACTGGCCCATGTTAACACAGTCATGGTTGTGAAGATGGGCATTGAGTGTGGTTCTTTGTGTACTTCCTTCTATTTAATTCAAATGTGTCAATTTATTTTTCTTTTAAATTTTACCAATGTCCTTTACTTTTCTTGAATCTTCCTGTTTTTTTTAAATTAGATATAAACTATTAGTTGTGAGATGACTTGCCTCTCCCAATTCATCCTTTCTGAAATGATTTATGGAAAGAAAGAGGCAAGACTGCACAGATCACCAACCCCTGGTTATTGTATTTATCCCCTGATTCCCTTTCTGGTCTGGATTCGTTTCAAGACTCCGTACAATGAAAGCTTTTAGCTCAGTATAGCTAGAGGGATGCTCCTTATTTTTTCCTCCTGTTCTACACACTGCTTGGATTGTAGTAATTCCAACACATTTCATTTTTAATGACATTTTTCTGATTATGAAATCTACTCATGCTGGTAAAAATTACAGAGCACACAGTAAGAAAGAAGATTTATACATAATTCTACTATGAGGAGATGAACATTGTTAATGTTTTATTGTTTAACCTTCCAGTTTATTTTGTACTGTATGAATTGATTTGATTTCTGGGTTTTGCTAGCAGGATTATAGAGAATGCTTCATCAATGAGAATTACCTGGTATAAAGGCTTGGGATTGGTGTTAATTCGGGGAGTGTGGTCAGGATGCAGACTGTGGTAGGCAGGATAATGACCCTCACAGATGTCTCTATCCAATCCAACATCTGTGAACACATCAGGTTAAAAGGCAAAAGAGAATTAAAGTGAAGGTAGAATTATAACCAGCTGATGTTAAAGAAAGGGAACTGCACTGGATTGTTAAAGTGAGTGAGTCCAGTCTATTCTCAAAAGTCCTTAAAAGTAAAAGAAGAAATAATTGGAAGATAGAACCAGAGCAATGTTAGAAGAAAAACTTATTCTAACGTTGCTGGCTTTGAAGGTATAAGGCAGTTATCAAGGGCCAAGGAATGTGGACAGTCTCTAGAAGTTACAGAGGTCAAAGATTATCCCTTAAAGACAACAGGAAAAAGGCAGCCTTACAACTATACTCCCTGTAGATAATTAGGATCTGTTGTAGATTTTGGAACTATAGACTGCAAGGTAATAAATTTGTGTTGTTTAATTCTGCTTTTTTTTTTGTGGAAATTTGTTATAGCAGTCATATGAAAACAAATAAATATCATTAGGAACCAATGTGTTAATACAGAAAAATTAACCGAAAAGGAACTAGAAGAGAGAAAACAGTAAAGCCAAAAGTCTACCTAATTTTTTAGATTAATGTATTTTTATTTTTTGTATGTTATTTTGCATGCATCAGTGGGCCATATCTGTGCAGTGCCAGTGGTTGCCAGAAGAGGGCATCAAATCCCTTGAAAAAGAGTCAGATGGTTGTGAGCCTCCATGTGGGAGCTGGGAACTGAACCTGAGTCCTCTGCAAGACCAGCCAGTATTCTTAACTGCTGAGTCATTTCTCCAGCCTCAAGTTTACCTAATACTACTTTTTACTTCTGCGTATATCATTTTTGTCCTTTTCCCATTTCGTTAAGTTTATGCTATAGCATCATTTATTCTACATCAGTTTTGAGCCACTTCTGACTCTTCCTAACTTTTTTTTTCTGTATTTAGTGATTTAGCTTAGCAGGGAAGTGATGATGAGAACACAGTGTATAATGAAACAGTGTCATCATTTTATTTCAATATCTGTTTCACCAACATGAACAAGAATAGGCGGGTACAGGAAGCTGTGCAATAGTGGAAAATGCTGCTTGATGGCATCAGAGGTGGAAGATCTTGGGCTTATTTGTTGTGTGCTCTTGGGGATGTCTCCTGACTTTCCTGTCTCTAGCTTGTCTTTCATGCAAAATATGGGTGGTTATAATACCAATATCTGTATTTTTATACAGATCAAAAAGCATTATGCATAAAGCCTTTAATACAGTATCTGATTTAAAGAAAAACATCCAATCCCTATTAAGCTGTACTGTAATTATTTTTTACTGTTGTTGTAGTTGCATATTTATCAGTTTCTCTGGGTTCTGGGTCAAGAAGTTTGGAGATAGAGCTGACAGATCTTCAGTGTGTTATCTGCTAGTGCACACCGTGTCTTATGAATATTGCATGATGTGGAGAATAGGCATGTCCTTGATGTTAAAGGACTGTGACAAATAAATGGAGGGTAGAGGGTAAAGAAGTCTTTAAAAGCATGCATAAAAACATACACTTGAATGAAATATTTAACTGTTTGCTACAAGCATTTGGACGGTTTCAGACTGATGCCAGAGAGCCAGTAAAAGAAATATAGTTTGACAAGATGGTAGTCTGTCATGGCATTTTTGCTGCCATAGCAAGTTTTCTGTTTTTTTGTTAATTTTCTGTTTCTTTTGATGATTTCGAGACCCACTAGTGAAATCCCCAAGGAATTTTTTCCTGTTGTTCAGTTGCTTTATCATTTGTTTCGTAGATTATTTAAATTGAAGCTATGTTTGTTGTTTCTAAGAAGAAGATATGATAGCTTTGAGAGCTAAACCAAAAATAAGTGTTAAAATTACTCTCCTATACACTGCTGTTATTGCAGTTGGCCTGTGTTCATTTATTTACAGTGTTATTTATCTTAGAGAGTGTCAGCTAAACAAATGGTGTTGCTCAAAAGGTCATGCTTGAGTTTTCTCTAAAGTGATTAGTTTTATCAGTCTTTATTATTTCTCAGACATTCTTTCTTGAGTGTGTGACTATTGATTGTTTTGGAAATTGATTTCATAGAGACTAATTTGGTGAAGGATAGCAGTTTTTAAGCCACAGAATAAGTGACTACAGAGCTTGAAATTACTTCAGAGCTAGTGATTATGATGCACCTTTGCTCTCCATGGAAGGACTCCATAGGCGTTCGACTATTTCCTAAAGCTTATGCACAGCTCTAGTTCTGTTGTTTGGAAAGATGAAATTATTAAGTGACACAGGTTGTCGGGGCAGTGAAAGTTCTTCTGTGTTTCAGCATGTGCCTTGGGACTCATTTGTCCTCCGGTCTCTTTTACATTCTATTTGGTAAGATTAATTTCCCTCTAGCTCTGAAATCTTATGACTCTGCCCTTTCTCTGGTGTACAAGGCCAGGCCACTGTGGGAAGGGGAGTGTGGTGGAGGCTCTTTAGGGGAAGAAGAGATTCTGGGATTCTGGGCACTTTCTAATTTGTGTTGCAGGTTTGTGCCCTTTTGATCCTCTTGACCTTTTTGATTCATTTTTTTTCTCATTTTTGCAATTAGTAATTGTTCTCCCCATCTCTCAGTGGTATGGCTGGCAGCAGATTATATGTGCAAAACCAGTAGACTGAAGATTCAAAAAAAAAATAGTGGTTATATAGCCTGTTCAAGTTAATGCCTAGAACAAGAATTTATCATTTGAATATGTTTGCCTTCCAGGGAGTTGGTGTTGGCGTAGAGCCACTGAAAGTGTCCAGGAATCTCCATTCCTATGAGAAGCATGCGGTGAGGCGAAGAAGCTTGTATGTCCATAGCAATGGGCTAGCCTCGACTTTAGTCTAAGGTTAGTTCCAGGAAGGGGAAAATAGATGATTATGGGTTCTTTATTTGGGTCTGAATGTTGTTTCATTGCCTACCCATTCATATGTTGAAGTCCTAAGCCCCAAGATAACTTTAGTAGGTAAGAACTTCGGGAGGTGACTATGTTATGAGGGAAAGCCCTCAGGAATAGGTTTAGCACCCTTATGAAAGAAACCTCTGGGGCTGAAGAAATGCTAAAATCACATGAGTCTCTTGCAGAGGACTCAAGTTTCATTTGCAGCACCCATGTAGAGTGCTCACCACTGCCTGTAACTCTACCTCCAGGATATCCAGCATCCTCTTCTGGTCTCCTTGGATAGCTGCCCTCATGTGCACATACCCCCACACAGACATATGTAAACAATTGAAAATAAAAGTCAATCTTAGAGACCCCTGGAAGCTGCCTTGCCTCTTCTCCAGTGTGAGGACACAGTGAGAAGACAGTCCTCTTTCCCCAGGAGTCAGGCCTTCGTTTGCCAGCCGTCATCTTTGCTGGTGTCTTTATCTTGCGCTTTACAGAAATCCAACAAAAATCAGTGTTAGAACTAGCCATACTCCACATAAAAATAGGTTTCTGTTGGTTTTAGGTCCATTGGTTTGTAGTACTTTGACATGGATGCCCTGGGAAGCAAATACAGGTTTTTAATGAGGATAGAGTAAAACAGAAGATCAAAAACACTTCCAAAATTAAAATATGGTTGTTAGCAAATGTTAGCAAGAAGGCAAAGCAAAGAGAACCTTTATGTCATCCTGGTGGGAATGTCACAGAGTTCAGCCACTGTGGAAATCAGTATGGAGAATCCTTAACTTCCCCAAATAAATCTACCAAATGATACAGCTACACCATACCTCTGTATTTACCTCAAGGACTCCAAATCAATGCATCACAGAGAGGCTCACACAACAGTGTTTACTGTTTACTACAAGAATATTCATAACATCTAAGTTAAGGAATCAAACTAGGTGTTCAACAGCATAGAAACAGAGAAAATGTGGGAGATTTTATATATATATATATATATATATATATATATATATATATATATATATATATATATATATATATAAATAAAATGGAATTTTACTCTGCCATAAAGCAAAACAAAATTATGTTATCTGGAGGAGGAAAATGGATGCAACTGGAGATTATCACATAAAGCAAATTAAGTCAGTGTCAGAAAGATAAATATCAGGTTTTCTCTTAATTTTGGATCCTAGAATTCATATGGATACATTAAATCATGTAGTAGGGGAACGAGAGGATTAATGAGAGGGGTGAGAAAGTGCAAGGCGGGGTAAGAGGAATTGCAGAGCATGCTCTAAGTACATCATATACTTGTATGATAATGACCTTACGAAGTGAACACCGTGTCTAATGAACATACGTCAATCAATAAAAAACATGGTTGTTTGAATTTTGAAAACATGGTTGTCAACTGACATTCTCATGTTCTGCGTCACTCATAGTCCAAACTATAGTATTGGCCCTACTCTGGTACAGTTTCCCACATTTTAGGGGCAGAAGAAGTAAAAATGAAGTGATCAGATGGCCCAGTCTTGAGCTGGAAGGTGGCTCAGTGGTTAAGAGCATCTACTACTCTTGCAGAGGATCCGACTTTTTTCCTGGCAGCCACACTGGGTAACTCACAACCACTTGTAACTTCTGCTTCAGAGGATCTGTGGCCTCCGAGCTACCTATACTCTTGTGTGTATACCCGCAAACACATACCCATATACAGATACACAGTTTAAAACAAAATGAATCTCAAAAAAAGAAGGCCAGGTCTCTTTCTGTGGGTGCCAGTCTGTATCCTCGTTATTCTAGCAGCTGGTCATTCGGGGAGAGTGTGAGCAAACTGCAAACAGTGACCTTTCATTTCCCAGCATCCTCCTCTGCTGGAAGACATGGCCTGCTGCCCAGGGATCAGGCTTTGTCCTTGAAAACTACCCGTAAGAGGGGAGGGAAAGAAAGAGTGGGTGGCTTCCTTTTCCTTAGGTACTTCCATGGTACATCTATTTAAAAACATTACGGCTTTCACATCTGCTTCTCCTCTCATCCTGAGAATGTCTGTAGGGGTTTTGAATTGGACTGGGAAATAGCAAAACACTGCTGTGCAATTTGGCAACATGTGCCTTTTGGGAAACAGCAGACCGGCACTGTGTGGTTTGGCAACATGTGCCTTGTAAGGTGCTTTGAATCACACACTGGGTGACAGCAGGAGAGCAGGGGGGCTGTGTATCATGAATAGTACCACTTGCATGTTGCTCCTGGTCCCCAGGCTCAGCCTTGAGCAGTACTGTGGCTCTGTCACAGCCCTGTATCTAGGAGGATGTGAGGACAGACAGTGAAAAAAAAAGACAGAAGAGCTGTGGCAACCTGCACAGCTTGTTGTGGAGAGGCATTTGGGTCTTCCTGCTTTAACTGCCTTCCTCCTCCAAACCTTCTTTTGCCTTAGAATATGGTATATTTAGCTGTTTACAAATTACTTGGATCCTGGTATTTGGGGAATGTGTGGGTGGTGGTGTGAAGCAAATCGCTTTATCTGGTTGCTGGTCATTAATATCAAGAAGATGAAATTGTCAAACTTAAAGGGTGAGTGGTAGTTTTATCTCATTAATATCTGGAAAAATTATTTTTTCTACGTTTCAGAGATGACACTTAGATAAGATTAACATACTCTATTGTGGCAGGTCATGTGACGGGTACATTAACATACATCATTATCGTTTCTAAAGCAGCTTAGAAATTCTCTTTTTCTACTTCCTTTTTTACAGATATGGAGACCCAGGCCCTGAAAGGAACTGCCTAGGACCTGAGGGAAATACTTTAGCAGTTCTAACATTTTAGTAATAATATCCTGATCTGAGTACACATTTTTCTGAACTGTGTGTCAGGTTCTTCTGTTTGGAGAGATTTGCACGTGTGTGTGTTTTCCTGTGTGCATGTGTGGGCACATGCATGTGGGGCTGGAAGCCAAGCACAGGTGTCGTTCCTTAGGCACTGTCCTTCTTGTTGTTTGAGACAGCGCTCATTGGCGTGGAACTGTCAGAGTAACTCGGGCCATCTGGCCATTTGAGTTATAAGTATGTGCCACTGTGTTCTGCTTTGATTCTGAAGAGCAAACTCAGGTCCTCATGTTTTCATGTCAGGCAGTTTATTGCCCACGCCATGTCATTAATCCTCGTGTTTTAGGTTCTCTGAGGATCATTTCTTAGTGTGTATGTTATATATTGTGAGGGTTGTATTGTCATCACTAAATGATTTGACTCCCGGTCTCTGTTGTGTTGTGAGAAGGCACCAGCTCAAGTCCTTGAATGCAGATTTGACTCCCATGGAATGTGTTACTTCCAAGTTAATGTTTTAAGGACTTTGTGTGATTTGCCTTGCTCCATATTCTTCTATCACAGCAGCTGAGGATGCTTTCTCTGTTACTTTGGGTTCTGGCATTTAGATGATACAGGACAACACAACTCAGCCAGCTTGCCATTGGATTAGATTCTATGTAAATGCAAGTGAGAAACAAACCCATTCTTTCAACCACTGGGATGGCCACATGTACAGGATAGCTGCATGGCCTCATCAGTGTGCAGGATAGCAGTGTGGCCTCATCAGTTCAGACTGACACTACCTACCTGGCATTGGTTTTAAGTTTCAGATGTAATTTCCCCTTGTTTTCACACTTGAGACTGTTAGGTTACAACCTTATGCACAAGAATTGTGTGGTCTTCTTGCCCTGTGGTTTTTGCACAGTGCCTGCTTGGAGCCTTGGATACTGGAGAGTTCTGAATGGCACAAACTGAGTGATAAGCAATACTTAGTAAAGAGTGTCTACAATGTTCAAAATGTCATTCATTATCAGGGACCCAGAAATAAATAAGCAGGTAACCTGCCTCAGGAATTTACAGTTTAGCAGAGATAGCTATGTTCATTTATTCAATATATAAATGAAGGGTATACAGTCAATTCGTTTATACAGACATACTTATTTAGGTCCATGATTTCTAAGTTGGTCAAGTGCTGGGGAATCAAGTGTAGCAAAAAGAGGTGAGTTCATTTCCTTATGGAGTTCATCAGCTAAAAATGGAGATTAAGTTAATTATGCAAATGTAAATTGTAACTAGGATAAAGTCTACAAGGAAACAAAGAGGGGGCACTTATTTGCTCTATGGGCACTTACAGGAGCGTTCTGGAAATAAATTGGACTCAGCACCTCTTCAGACTGGTTTAAATTCTGATTCTGCCACTTTGAAGTATAAGACCTTAGCCAGGGCACCCAACCTTCCAGAAAAGAGTTTCCCGTTTCGCAGGTTAGTTGTGAAGCATACATAAGCTTTTGTCTGTGACAATGCCTGGAATGTCATGTATGCTCAGAAAGCTTAGTTACTTTCCCCCTTCCTCTGTGACATTGCTTCTCCATGACCAGCTCATCAGAGAATGGCAAGGGAATGGGTCTGACGGCTGGGTTAGAAAAGGCTTTATGTAGAAGCAGCATCTGAACTTAGACTAGAAGGATAGAAAAGGATTTCATGAAGAGAATTGTAATGACCTGATAAGAGAATAATTTTAAGTAACTAGACATATTTCTTAGCTAGGGTCGTGCCTTTAGAATGGGACAGATTCCAGTTCCAATCAATAAGCCATCGTTACTTATCCTGTGACCTTGACCAAGGTGCTCCCTTTCTCTACATGAGAGTTTCCTTATCCAAAAAGTATGAGGATAATATTAGAATGAATTCTGTAATATTATGGTAAATATTTAATAATAAACACATATAATGCTTAGCACAGGCCCTCATAATGAGGGGTACCTCAATATTGCTAGCATTATCTTACAAACAAGGAAGGCACAATCTCTGGGTTCTTTTTTGTAGCTTTAGATACAAACTCCAAATGCTAGTTTAACTGCAAGGCACTGATGTCACTGAGTTCAGCATGAGATTTACTGTCCCCTTAGAGTATTAATACCCACCAATTAATAGTGACAGTCACTAAACATTTAGTACCTAATGAGCTGCATCTCCTCAGTATGGGTGTAGCATGGAAAAGGAACTGTATGATTTAACTTGCCAGACTTCCTTCTTGCTGGCTGGCTGTGACCTCCCCACTGGGCTGCCTGAGGGGTTGACTTCATTTGAAAAATACATTTAGAAATGTCAGTGTCTAGGAAGCTCTGAGCTCTAAATCCTCCTTGGAACCACGAAAGCAAAGACTATCAGAGCTGTTCTCTTCCGAAGTGATGGGGGATACAGCAATGAAGAAGTTAGGAAAGGTCCTTGCTCTTTGGGGCAGAAGGAGGGAGGGGAGAGAGAGAGAGAGAGAGAGAGAGAGAGAGAGAGAGAGAGAGAGAGAGAGAGAGAGAGAGAGACAGAGAGAGAGAGACAGAGAGAGAGAGAGACAGAGAGAGAGAGAGACAGAGAGAGACAGAGAGACAGAAAGACAGAGAGACGGAGAGACAGAGAGGAGAGAGAGAGACAGAGAGGAGAGAGAGAGACAGAGAGAAAGTGGGAAGAACTAGCTCTATGCAAGATGTTGGGAACATAGTTTCTGGAGTGAACAGAGCATGTTGATAAGAAATGAGCTTGGAGGATATTTTGTGAGGCAGGCAGGGAAGTTTGTCTGAGGAGGTGACATTTGAAACTTAGACTTGGAATATATAAATGCACCAGCAAAGATCTAAGGCAGGAGTGTTCAGGCAGAAAGAATAACACGTTAAAAATTGGTGAGGCAGGAATATACTTAATGTGTTTAAAACTGTGTATGGCAGAAGCTCTGTGGAAAAGGGCAGCTTTGGCATGAGATGGGGCCAGAGAGGTGGATGAAGCAGCATTTATAAGGTTTAAGCCATTTTTAAAGGTTCAAATTTGATTTTAAGGACCAAGTGAAGGAAGCCTCCAGGAAAGTCTCAGGCAGTGGAGTGGCAAAGTTTGATTAATGACCTAGACCACTCTGCTGTTCTACAGAGAATAGACTGTTAGAGGATGAGAACAGAAGAAACAGGGAGGCCGGCATGGCTTTAAATTCCTGCTTAAGAGTTCATGTCCATAGTCTGGTGCGGGAGATGGTGATAGAGTGGACCAAGGAGCAGCCTTGAGGAGAGGAAAGAGTGCACAAAACGAAGACAGATTCTGGAGGTAGTAGTGAATGAAGTATGGGAAAGGAATAACCAAGAATAGCATTGTCTATGGTGTTTTGCCCTCAGTAACTGGGTAGTGCCATTTACCGTGATGAAGAATAATGGGAGAAGATACAGGGCATAGGAGAATAACATTATGTAAGGTAGTGAGGGCTGTTGTAAAGTAGCATTTGGCTAGTCAAACTGTGTTTTAGCCAGGCGATGGTAACTCCTGTCTTTAATCCCAGCACTTGGGAGGCAGAAGCAGGTGGATTTCTTTGAGTTCAAGGCCAGTCTGGGCTACAGAGCGTGTTCTAGGATAGCCATGGCGACTGTAGTGGGTAGCCATTCCAGCTTTGATCTGGAAGTTCCAATCCCCATTGAAACTTCGGCAACTGTCACGCCTACAAGGCGGGGCCAAGGGAGGCACCTGGGGACCTGAGATCTGGATCGGCGGGTGCTCTCTCTGTGGCGGGACCCTGAACGGTGGAGCTGGGCCAAGCAGAGCTCCAGAGAACACCGCTGGACTGTGATACACCTTCCCCAGACCCTGCGACCTACCTATCCCTTAATTTGTAAGTTACGCCATTAAATAAATCTCCTTTTAAACTATGTGGAGTGGCCTTAATAATTTCACCAATAGCGACACAGAGAAACCCTGTCTCAAAAAAACCAACTCCCCCCGAAAAAACCCCAACAACAAAAACAAACAAACACATGTGAAAAAACTCTTTGTGTTTTACTACCCATCCATTCTCTATACACATGTTTCAAATATCAAATTTTCTTGTTGTCATTTTCCTACTGAATGCCCTTATAGACATTAGGCTAATGGATTATAGAACTCTTTGGGAGATCCTAGTAATGGCCTTATACCTTTTCTAGTTACAGTGTTCTAGACAGTCCCGACACCATTGTTTTGGGGTTGGTGCTTAAAAGGCATTTATTTGCCTTTCCCATTTGTATTGTACCAGCACCTCTGTTTCCATCTCAGAATACTCACTGTCTTACTGAAACATTTAGTAGGGTGTAGTCAGTTGGTAGAGCCTGTCTACTATACACAGAGCTCTGGGTTCAGTCCCGGGCACCTTGTAAAACAGAGAATGATGGTATGTGCTTGTGATCTTAACACATCAAAGGAACAGAAGTTTAGGGACATTCCTGGCTATATACAAAGTTTAGGGCTATCCAGTCTGTATGAGACCATATCTCAGAAACAAAAACAAAAACTGAAGTATAGTTTATTTTTGTAAATTCGTGTATTGTGTGTATATGTGGTGTGTGTGTGTGTGTGTGTGTGTGTGTGTGTGTGTGTGTGTGTGAGAGAGAGAGAGAGAGAGAGAGAGAGAGAGAGAGAGAGAGAGAGAGAGAGAGAGAGAGAGAGGAGCAGGTGTATGGGTGCACATACCTTTCTCTATCACACTCAGCATCTTTCCCTAGAGATAAGGTCTCTCATTGGACCTGGAGCTAGGCTGGCAGCCAGCAAGCCCCAGACATCCTCCTGCCTCTACCTTCCATGGGATAGGATTACAGGTATATATGAGGTCATGCCCAGCATATTAGAATGGCTCCTGGGATCCAAACTCAGGTTTTTGTGCTTACATAGCAAGTACGTTTACCCATCTGCCTTGCCCCCAATTTATCTATTTTTGTTCGTATTTACTTTTTAGGTTATAATATAACCTTCTCCCCCCACCCTTTTTCTCCCTCCAAACCCTCCTTGCTCTCTTTCAAATTCATGACCTCTATTCATTACTTGTGATATATATTCCTAAATACATGGATGAAACCTGCTGGATCTGTGTAATGTGACTAAGAGCCCAGGATGTACTTCCAGGACTCTGCAGGATTTGGGTGAGGGAAAGATAACTCATGTCTGATTTGGTTACTTCTCAGAAAAGTTTGTGTCTTAACTAGAGCATTTGACAGAGGGATCAGAATATGGTTTGTGACAATGTATGATTAAATATCTATGCATGTGACCTAAATATCATGTTTAAAGGGGTGTGGGGGGTGATTGCCACAGTTAAAGCAATTTTGAAGTGTCGTGGAGATATGGGGCTTGAGAAAGACCAGTGTTTGCATGGTGTATTTGCCACTTTCCTCATTACTGTGGCCAAAGACCTGCTAGAAACAAGTTAAGGGGAGAGTGATTTATTTTGGATCATAGTTTAAGTTAATATAGTTTATCACAGCGGGAAAGACATCACTGTAGAAGTGTCTTCATTAGGGTTACTATTGCTGTGATGAAACAGCATGACCAAAGCAAGTTGGGGAGAATGGGACTTATTTGGCTTACACTTCCATATCATTGTTCTGAAGGAGGTCAGGACAGGAACTCAAACAGAGGAGGAACCTGGAAGCAGGAACTGATGCAGTGTCCATGGAAGGGTGCTGCTTATTGGCTTGTTCCTCACGGCTTGCTCAGCCTTTCTTATAGAGCCCAGGATGACCAGCCTATGGTGGTCTCATCCAAATTGGGCTGGGCACTAACCCATCAATCACTAACTAAGAAAATTCTCTATAGGCTTGGCTACAGCCTGATCTTATGGACGGATTTTCTCAACTGAGGCTCTGTCCTCTCTGATGACTCTAACTCAAATAAAGTTACCATAAACTGTCCAGTATAGGGAACAATGGCAGTGGCTTCTTTACATCTTGATAGCTGACCAGAAAGCAGAGAACTCAGTCAGAAGTAGGGCTAGGCTGTAATCACTGACTTTCATGGCTCTATGTCTGCCAGCTAGGTCCCATGACAAAAGGCCTGACAACTTTCTAAAGCAGTCCCACCAATTACACACACACACACACACACACACACACACACACACACACACACACACACACACAAATTCATGGAGGGTGACATTTCATAGGTAACCATCTATGACAGAAGAAGAAAAGATGGTAGCACCAGTTGAGATAAATAAATTGTGTAGAGAATTGAAGGTAGGTGGGGAGAAGTCTATTTGAAAGAGAGAAACATGATTAATATGGAAAGGGAATTAACATAGTTGTTCCGTTCTCATTCTGACTTCTCAGGACACACCCCTAAGTGGTTGATGGATTGGCTTGGATGAACTCTAGACTGTCTTTCAATGCCAGGTTGGTGTTGTACTCCAGAGCATGAATTTCTGTCTTTTCTGTTTCCATTCTTTATTTCCTTGCCATCTGCTGCCTCCCTAAGCCAATGCTGTACATTTTATATTTCTGTTATGACCTTATGCCAAATTTGGTAACAGTTTCTGTTAGCTAGCTGATTACAGATACATCCGCAAATGGCAGTGACTGGAAACAAGGCCAGTTCAGCCCTGGCTAATGGTCTAGTGTGGGCCGTCTCAGGAAGCTCTCCTAAATGAGTGATTCTCTCCAGGTCGTGACTCGGGCTTTTCACGTGACACCCCCTCCATTTTCCTTATGGAGCTCACAAGGCTCTATCCCAGTCAGTCAGAAGGGGAAAAAGTAAATTGTGGGGAAATATTTGTGGGCTTGGCTGGTGGAAAACTGATTCCCATTTTTCTGTCCCTGGCTAAAACTCATTGCTGTAGCCTAATCTAACACCAAGGGAGGCCGTGGCATCTAATCCAGCTGTGTGACTCTGCAGAGATGAAACAAAATGTTTCAGGATCATCTTTTCCACAAAGAGGCACTGGTCATCAGATTTGCCGTAGCATTTTCTGAGCCTGGGACTCATTTAGCTGACAACTTGAGGCAGTACCCTCCTATCTCCTTTTATCAGCTCACCCCACAGCTGGAAAGCTAAGCCAGCCCACATTCAGAAAAACAAAACAGAGATGGCATCTAGAGTAGGTCCCTCTTTTACCCTCAATAACTTTGTTAAACTTTCCTTATCCTTGACACTGAACTTGTTCTCTCTGTAGCAGTCCTGTCTAAGGATCTGTGTGAACCTAGACTTTACCCTTTTGCTTTACAATTGATCTCTTGTACCACATCCATAGATTCTATGTCAAGTATGTTATCAATTTATTATGAGGAATATAACATCTGAATGCTCTGAGTACGATTGTCTTAGTCTTCAAATCTGTAAAGCCAGGTTTGGTAGTATTGCAAAATTACCTAAAATTAGCCTGGTATAGTGGCTCATCCCTTCAATCCCAGTACTCGGGAAGCTTAGATTGGTGAATTGCTGTGTGACTGAGCCCTGGTTATGGCATGAGAACCTATCTCAAAAAACAAAACAGAAACAATGTAAGATCTAGGAAACTCAATAGTTTGATAAGGCCTTTTGGAAAAAAAAGAAGTATTTATCTGGAG